CGGAGTCTAAAAATGGGAAAAAATGTATGTATGTATGAGCCGCTTTTACGGCGCGCTAGGGCGCTCTGCGACGCCTATTCTCCACAGGAATCTGTCATGGTAGAGATCCTCTGGAAGGTGGCATCTCTCCATCTCTTCATGGATGCCCTCTACCCACCGTTTGGCTGGACGCCCTCTCCGTCGCCTACCTGGTGGGACCCACTCCAACACCTTCTTCGGCAACCTGGTATCAGCCATTCTCTGCACATGCCCATACCATACCAATTGCTTGGTCATGATATNCTGCTCTCTAGTGTAGCAAACGAGGAACAATTAATCCTCAGTTGAATGAGGGAACGGAAATGTTCGACGGAGGAAAACTGTAACCCGCGAAAATTCAACTTTTAGACCTTGAAATCAATGGGATTTTGGCCGTTCCTCCGACGGCAACGAGAACCATCCATTCGTCGCCACGGACACTACCAATGCTAAAAGAAATCGATCGCAAAGAGCTCTCCCGAGTGGGCGAGCTCAAAACATATCGGATCTAGAGCCCAGACTCTTAAAAACATCGACAAGAAAAAGTACTCTTGATTCAATCAGATTTAAGCTTAAATCAAGAACCAAGCCTCTTAATTTGAGCGGATTTCCTTTTGATTTAAGCTTAAATCCGATTGAATCAAGAGTATATTTTCTTGGCAATGTTTTCAAGAGTCTGGACTCTAGATCCAATGTTTTTTTTCCAGTGCAGAGAGGAAAAATCACGGCAGTTTTTAGGAATTGCTGTTGAGTAGTTTTCCATTTAAAAAATGAAGTATGACGGGAAGTCTGCAACGTCTTAAGCCTAGACAAGTGATTGCGGACTCATACCGTCGATATATTTTCGTGTTCACCGGATCCGCAGAATCATTCAACCTACATGAATATGGACCAAAACCGAATATAACAGCAATGCACCAAGTCGCATTTTGAGGAAAAATAAGTTAGGAGTAGTATTAAATTCACCCAGTCGTGAATTTTCTCTCTTCAAAAATTCAAAATAGGAAAGAAATATTTTGATCTTGAAAATAGCCGCCGAACTCTGTCTTTAATATTAATTCTTGCGGAGGGATAAAACTTCAAACCTCCTTTTCTCAGTTCAAGCTCGATGCGATTTAGTGCGTTCCTCTCGAACCCGTTCAGTTGTGCTGATTCATGAGTCGCTCGGGAGATGGACGCGTTTTTCGCCGTAATAGACTCATTTAACAGGTTCCGAGTGCTTCAAAGAGCCGGGAGGACATGAAACAAGATGTAATGAAGAGTTTATTCCGTTGACCACTCGGCGCACGCCCCGTAAATAGATCAAAGCTTAATTAGCATATAAAATTACTTGACGAATTAACATTGCCGAGTCCTGAGCATTGTTGTAAAAATATTATCGAGCTTTCAGCCGGCCCGCGGACAACTCGCGACGAGCAACTAATGATGCACAGTAGATCGAGTCTACAAGAGAAGTTGGACAAAATTTGGAAACTATAAAAGCTTGTAACTCAGTTCATACAAAACTTTGAGGTTTTAAAAGTTGTTTCATTGGTTTCCTTGTGAAATTCCCTTTCAGGAGCACCCCTTTGAATTTAAAATGTGACGAAATAACTATCAAAATTTGCAATTTTGGTCAAAAATTCCATGTTCGAACTAACTGATTGACTCGACCCACTTTGTGTCGCCGCGAACTTCTGTAACAGGTTCGAGAGAGCATTAATTTAATTGATGCACAGTCTCCGGCACCGCTTAAACAGTGGACAGGCGTGAACGATCGATATCGATTTTGTCTCATTTGAAGCTGTGGTAAAGAATCGATTATTAAGGCTCTCGCTGCGAACATCCTTTTTATCGATCTTTTTCCACAGGTTTGAATGGTATTGGTAGATCAATCGACATATCGCAGAGCACGGCATTAACGTCTGCGGGTATGTAAATCGCTCACGACCGGACGACTTCTTATTTATCTCGGGTGCGAATTTAATGGCTGAATTATCTGAATTCATCAGCTCTCAGCGTCCTGTACTTTTAGAAGTCGCATAAGAACTTTCCAGATATGAGAAAGGAACGGGAAAAATGTAAGAAAATTACTCGAATGTGAATTATTTCAATGTATCCCAAATAATATCCATCTAAACAAAATCCAAATTGAATCTCTCAGTTCGAAAACGACCAAACTCAGGTTGTTTACAATGTTTATTTTCTTCTTTTTTGCGTAGAAACACTCGTTTTCTGGTTGTTACGCAGTTTTTATCGTCTCCTGAAAAATTTTGTTTTTCCAAGATAGGTCGTTTAGAACTGAGAGATTCAATTAACAAAATTGCGTTAATAATCAGCAAGGGTTTAATTTATCAGGACAATTAATATGCAACGCCGGAATCAAGCCACGATGTAATTGAAACAAGCTGAGCGCCCTTAGTTTCAAATGCGACGAACCCTACACAAATTTCATTTTATTTAACTCCTGGATGCAACTATTCCGGCTGTACGGATGTCGTCGGATGTCTGTATTGCATAAGCACGGAAGTGAAGGCGTTTCGACTGTCCAGGCAAAAGGAACCAAACCACTTCAACTATTGCCAAATTTAACTGAGCAATTAATTTTTTTTACGAGAGAACGGATTTTTCTGAAAATTTGAGGAATTTGCACGAAAATCCGCACAACCGTTTTTATGTAAGAAATTGAATTGTCCAATTAAATTTGGTAATAGCTGATGTGACTTGGTTCCTTTCTGTTTAATGCGATCCATTTGAGGATATTTTTGTTTAGATCAAGCCTTTTTTTTTGTAAAATTGAGCAAGTGATTATCATATTTTCTGAACATTGATGCAAAACTGCCAACTATATAATTAGAACAAAGCATCACTCCACTGTCTGAAAAAATTCAGTCCATTCAGGCTCCATAATTGGAACAATTAATCACTACTTTTGTCTTATCCAAAATGCATTGAAGATACCCAGGTGACGCCTCCGGTTAATTAACCGTAGTTCCTACTATTTCGTGATTAAACAAACCGTCGGTCAATAATTACGTGGAGGGGTATTGATTTGATGTGCAGCTAATAATTAGTCGACCGAAGTTCGATGAAGAGCGTTTTTGCCGGTTGAATATTACTGTACCAGACTGTAATCCACAACAGTGTATCGTTGCGGTTTATCCCACTGGGCCACAAGAAAAAGTTATGTGTTTCCTCTTCAAAATTTCACGAAAAATACGAATTGCAAAACAGGAATCCTGCACATTAACTTTTAAACTAGGGTAGTGTTTTTCATGAACACTGTTTAAATGACAAAACAAAAATAATTTCATTTTTTAATGACCCAGCTCTTTGTTAAAAACACTTTAGGTACCGTTTGACCCATTATATGTCTTGGTATTATACGTAAGCCTTCTGATCCTTTAAGATTGACTGTCCGCGGTGCACTATGGCTCAGAATTCAAAAATAGGAAGGAGTAAGTCGGTTAATGACTGGAAGATCACCGAAAGTTTCGTCCCAGAGGTTTAATAGTCGCTGATTTCGAATTTGATGTCAAATTGCCAAGATTTTAACACCCTGACCAATCGAATTTGGGCAAGTTTATGGCACGTTACGCGGCGACGCGGCGTGGCGCGGCGGCGTGCTGCCAGCGCGGAACGCGCATTGGCGCCTACAAACCTAAGTAGATACTTCAAGCATCGCGCAATGCGTGAAATATCCCTTTAGGTTTGTAGGCGCCAATGTGCGTTCGCGCTGGCAGCGCGCCGCGCCGCGCCGAGGTGCTCCTGGCGGGCAGGTGGTGAACCATTTCTAGTGGGGAGAGCTCCCTAAACGGATATCCAAGGCTCTTTAATGAATTAGTGGCTTTTGTGAAATGGACAAACTTCATGTTAAATTAATTTTTTTTTTTTTTTAATTTTCGACTTTAAAAATAAACACTGTTCGTGTGAAGTGATTAGTGAACTTCGAGGAATTCATTTGACAGTGGGTCACGGGCTTCTGTTTTTCTGTGCAAGTTGTAGTAAAGAAGCCTTCCGAGTATCGAACTGGAGCTTGCTCGTAATAGGAATCAAAGCATTTTAAATCAAAATTTTAAAAAAATCCACTTTCTAGTTTATTGATACCTGTTAAAGGATAATTTTATTGTTTTTGTTCCAGTTTGCAAGTACATTTGCCATAAAGCGTGTGAAAGCAAGGTAAGATTTTACGCAGTACATTTTTCCCTCTATCTTTCATTACAAACCCC